CTGAGAAGGAAGCAGGTGGAATTCTTCTGATGGTGAATTCTATTCCCCATTTGGGGGAGGGGACAGTGACGACTCGTTAAAAACACACTCCTATATACTTGCACATAAACACAAATTTACTAACCTATGTGTAATCACGCATGGGGAAACACAAAAGGAATGGTCTACTGAAAAAGGAACCTGCTTCCTCTTTCCATCAATCTGAGAAACAAAGCATAAGATTCTACTCCTTAGCCAGGATTATCTGTCTCGCCCCAATCCTACTTTTATCTAAAATTTCCCATATTATCCATTCCTTGCCTTCTAGGCACCAATAAATTTTGTCATACCAAAAAAAAAATACACTTATGTTTATTCACACACAAGTACACAGATGCACATGATCACACATTCACAAACACATCTCTTCATGTCTCTTCCTCTTGCAGGATACCCTACCTTCCAATACTCCCTGCCACAAATTATACAGCTTTTTTTCCTCCTAAAAGTTTGGAATTTTTTTCCCATTTGGGTTCATGAAAGCTAATCTTCTGAAAATAGCATAACAATGTCAGGACAAACAGAGAGAATTTCCAAAGAGGCTTTAGATTAAATAATTTTATTTCTGGCTTGAAGAACAAGTAGGGTAAGAACAGAGGGTTTGGTGGCAATAGAAGGAATCCAGAATCTGTGTCTCCATTCTGCCATATAAGGGTGCAGGCCTTCCATTACTGGCATCTTTTCAGCAAGCACTACTTTTTGGCCCCTTTCAAAAGTGTAGGATGCAAATCCACATTTGTAAAACAAGGCTTTTTTTTTTTTTGACTTTCATAGAAGTGCATTGGGAATTTGTAATGAAAGCGGTCATGAATAACTTGCTGAAGCGTGGTTAAAAAATAATCCTGTATTTCCATGTGAAATCCTGAGCTCTGGAGCAAGTTGATGCAGGCTCAGGAGGTTTTCCCCCTTCCCTCCTCCCCCCACCTCATACCATTTTATGATAGAAAACTTTTGGACTTGTGTCCATCCTACTCTGTCTCTTTTTACCTTGGCAAATCCCAAGGGCCAAGTTGACTACTTATGTGTCTTGATATCTATGGCAAGTCTAGGATCCTTTTCATTCAGGTTTCAACCTCCTCCCTTCATAGGGGTTTTGGAGCCTAGTGAGAATAGAAAGCTATTTTATTTCTTTCACAGGCTTAGCTCAGTGTGATAGAGCCCAGGTTTGGGGGCCCCATTGTGAAGTGTGAGTGGGACAAGGAGAGAGGCATAGTCCAAAGGCCAGAATCCTTGGGAGACATTCCAAGTCAAGGCCATTTAGATAAATTTATTTTCTGAACTTTGTGAAACAAATACTCTAAGGTCCCTTCCAACTCTAGATCTGTGATCCCAATATCCTAATTGTTCTCTTATAGACCTAGTTTGGTAGACACTACGTTAAGAGTTGGTACCAATTCAGCTCTAATAGATTCACATTTGATTAGGTCTTTGGCTCTGCCTTTGTCTCTCTCTCTCTCTGTCAGTCTCCCCCTCCTTCCCCTTTCCTGGACTTCCTTGTCTTTTGCTCTTTTTCTGTATCTGTCTCTTTTCCTGTATCTCTCTCTGCCTCTGTTTCTGTCTACCTCTGTCCCTTTCTGCCCATACCTCTGTCTGTTTGTCTGTCTCTTTTCATTGTCTGTCCTTGCCTGTCCTTTGCTTTTTTCCTCTCTCTCTGATTGTGTCTATTTAATGATTTCTATTTTGCCCCTGACATTCCTATGGAAAGGCTTTCTCCATTTTCCTCTGTGGCTTTCTTGAAGCTCTTGTTCTCCCCCAACTCCTTAGCTTCTCTGCCTGACCCCCCACCCCCCAACTCACGTCCTTATGAAGGGTTCGAGGATTGGCATAGGTTTTTCATTGTCTTCGGAGACCTTTAGGAATGGACATTGTTGGAAATGGGAGGTGAGAAGAGTGACCTGGGACTTTCTTTGGCTCGGGGTAGAAAAACCTGGTGATTTGGTATCTGGGATAAGAGGAGCACCTGGTGTAGATAAATGCCTGGGGTGTGTGTGACTCCTCATTAACACCTCCCCTAGGTGTGGGAATCTCCAAAAAAGATGTTAACCCCTCATTCCCCCCAACACCGTACACTCCTACTTACCCCCAAATTATTACAGTTTGAGTACTGCAACGTCCTCCCATACCACCCTGGAAAACTTCCCTATCTCCTCAAGAGATGTATGTCTTTTTTAGGGACCGGTTTTTTTTTTTTAAATCTTTTTGTTAAACCTGCCAAAGCTCGGAAGACGGAGAATCAAGAAGAGGACAAGACAGAGAGGTGGGGCACGGTTTCCTCCCCTTTTCTCCATTGCCTCCTCTTTCTCCCTTTCCCTTTCCCAAGACCCAGAGCTGCGCCTCTCTAAACTGGGTAGCTGGGGGTTGGGTTGGGGAGGGAGACACCCTCCCCTTTCTCTCATGTTGTTTTCAGTGGTAATAAAAGTGAGCTAGGGAGGGTGGGGGTGCAGTATTTTCGCAATTTCTGCCTTCAGGATTTTATTAGTCTTTTTCCCCAAGCAGCAGCCAATCAGCTATAGGGATCTGGGTTCCTGCGTCTCTTACGTCAGGACGGCTGGCCAGAGCTAATGCAGGCGTTTCTTGAGCTGGGAGCGATTTAAAACGCTTTGGATTCCCGGGGCCTGGATGGGGAGTACGAGCTGAGCGCCCCGGATTCCCCACCCACCTCCGCCCCATGAGCTTCCCACCAGCCCCATGGAGTCCGGTGCTTATGCCACCTTGGATGCTGGCAAAGATATCGAAGGCTTGTTGGGAACGGGCGGGTGTCGGAATCTGGTCTCACACTCGCCACTGGCGAGTCACCCTTCAGCGCCTGCTCTACTGCCCACACCCAACTATACCCCCATAGACCTGCCCGGCTCCGGGGAACCTCCAAAGCAGTGTCACCCATGCCCCGGGGTGCCGCAAGGAAGCTCCCCCACATCCGTTCCCTATGGCTACTTTGGTGGAGGCTACTATTCCTGTCGAGTGTCCCGGAGTTCGCTGAAACCATGCACCCAGGCAGCTACCCTGGCTGCCTATCCCACGGAGACCACTGCAGCGGGGGAAGAGTATCCTAGCCGTCCTGCAGAATTTGCCTTTTATCCTGGGTACCCAGGACCCTATCAGCCCGTGGCTAGTTACCTGGACGTGTCGGTGGTGCAAACTCTTGGAGGCCCTGGGGAGCCCCGCCACGACACCCTGTTGCCAGTGGACAGTTACCAGCCCTGGGCCCTCGCCAGCGGTTGGAGTGGCCAGATGTGTTGCCAAGGGGAGCAGAACCAGCCCGGTCATTTCTGGAAGGCTGCATTTGCAGGTAACCTCCGAGACCCAATTTCTTTTTGCTTTCGGGTGTGTGTGTGTGTGTGTGTGTGTGTGTGTGTGTGTGTGTGTGTGTGTGTGTGTGTGTGTGTGGTGGCGGGGAGTGGTGTTGATATCAAGGCAGATTGGAACTGATGAAAGACGGGAGATTCGTAGGACTCGGGAAGGGAAAGGGAGGACTGGCTGCAGTTTATCTTTGGCAGTCTTCCAAAACTGGTTGTTGGGATCAAGTAGAAGTGTCTGTGCTGACAGGGATATGTCCATGGACCCCTAAATATTGAGGGGGCAGAGCCGGAGCCTGAGAAATCTGGCACCACCAGGCTACCACCTCTGGCGCTTTTCCTTTGCAGCTGTCCAGGAGGTCTGAGAGGTCTTTCCTATTGTGTGCGCAGCAATTTGCATGTATGCATATTTGGGAGGGAAGGGGGTGTCTAGTGTGCCCAAGAACTATACTATGCATGAATGTGTAGTCCAGACGTTTTGCGTGGGTCTCTTTGTATGGAAGACAGTTGTAAGTTATTTCTAAACAAAGGCAGACCACGTAGATTGTGACCATGTCAGTGAAATATTTCGCCACCGTGTAGTGGAAACGACAGGTCCCTCACACCCTTTTCGGCTGAATTTTTCACTTTACTCCAGATCGTTTTGGTGTTGTGTAGACACCACCCATGTATGTACCCTCTTTCGGAGGGTAGTTTGTGGAGCATGGCCTGCAGTGAGTGGCTCTGCAGGGAGTCTCTGGGTTTTTGAATATTTCAGATCCTGTTTGGAACCTGTGTATGTGTCTCTGTGGTTATGTGTACGTGGATGTGTGTAGATATGTGGGTGGGTGTGGGTATATGGTCTGTGAGTGTACACACACCTGTGGCCGTACCTACGTGTAAGGGGCTCATGTGTAAGCCTTCTGTTTGTGGTTGTGGCTGTGTGCCTGAGTGTTTTGGGAAGCTTGCAGCGCTATATATGTGAATTTTTTTTTTTGACACACGTAGCTGTTTGAGTGTGCTGTGTTCGTATGATGTGGGTGGGGATGAATTTATGTCGGTGTGCTCATGTGCTAAGACCTAGCAGATGCCCTAGAGGGCCCAGGACCCGCAGTCTGAGTTAAGTATCTCCCTCCTTTACCTCTCCTTCCTCCATAGACTCCTCGGCCCAGCATCCGCCGGACGGCTGTTCTTATCGCCGGGGCCGCAAGAAGCGGATCCCGTACAGCAAGGGTCAGCTGCGGGAGCTGGAGCGGGAGTACGCCGCCAACAAATTCGTCACCAAGGACAAGAGGCGCAAGATCTCGGCGGCCACCAGCCTTTCGGAGAGACAGATCACCATTTGGTTCCAGAACCGCCGGGTCAAGGAGAAGAAGGTCTTAGCTAAGATCAAGACCAACGCCACCCCTTGATGGCGATCTCCTGGCGGGAAGGGAAGCCGTTTCTGGGGGCTCAGGACCCAGCCAGGGGCTGGGGCGAGTCTGGGACCAGTTGGGGACGTGAAGCCCTAGCTAGGCCACGGACTCTGCTATAGAGGTGTCCCCTGGGATCAACCCTGCTTCCCAGAAGTCCAGGGCCTTTTCGATGAATAGGACAGCTGTGATATGTCACTATATATGTAGAAAAAGAGAGAGAGAGAAAGGCCAAGGTTTTCTTTCCTATTTGCCTATATAGTTACACCGGGGGGAAAAGTAAGAATAACAATGACAGAGATTATATTAGTTAAGGTTATAATCATTCTCATATTCTCTGTTTAGCAGTTCCTTAGAGTGCCTTACAAACCACTTTTGATGGATCGAGCCTGATTAATAAATTAATAAATTCCCGAAGACACCCATCCCAATGGTGCCTTCCTCTTCAGACTCAGGTCCAGATGGAAAATTGGGATCTCTCTTCAGGCCTTGTCTACAGTGAGAAAGCAGAGGAACTGGGGACAGGGTGTCCACATTGCAATGACAGTTCCTATTTTTCCAAGGCGAAGGCTAGCCTTCCAGCAACGGAAGTCAATGAAAAAGGGGGTTATCTTCAATAGCACATCCTTTCCACCTTCAGATTATATAGAAAGGCACCCTTAAGAGTTCTCAGACTTGAGTTATCCAAATTCTTCCTTCGGTTTCCTGGAAAACTGGTGTGAGGCAAAGCTAGTTAGCTCTCTGTTCTCCCACTTCTCCTTCCAGGGCTTTGGTAGGCTGGCGATAACGAAATGGAGCTAGAGAAAGAATCTGGACAGTCCAATTTCCCCTGTCTGCCATGTCTGCCTTCAAAGCAAAACCTTAATACCCCACTTTTGCTCAGTTGTCTGGACAGAAAGTTGAGGATTAGGGACTATATGGGACCTGAATGAACTGGATGCGTGTAGCATGGTGTAGACTCCCTTTCTTCCAGGCACAAAGAAGCTGCTAATCCAGAGGGTTTTGGTGAGAGGGCAGCCACCCTCCTCCCCAATTTAGGGCTTCTATGTGCTCTAAGGGGGGGGGGAAGCGGGGGAAGATAAATTAATAAATCAGCCCATTGAGTGCCCTCCCCCTTCGATGGTTGATGGCTCTGAGGCCTCTGGGCTGAGATTTAAGGTGAGTGGAGGTCCTTCTCTTTATAAAGTATCCAGAGGCAAAATTTCCAATTTTTTAATTGGAAAAAAAAAGTGAGGCTGAAGTATGGCTAAAGGAACCCAAATCTGACTTCAGTTCACTTTTGAATTCATCTTTCTTTGTCCTTCTCTCTCCTGGAGCTTAGGGATTCCTCCGTTTGACTTCCACATTTACACCCCACCCCCAGATCTAGCTGACATTTCAGTGACAAGGGCTAAGTAAGATCCGATGTTTGGAGAGCAAAGATCCCACGGAGGGCACTCCCTCCTCTGTGGCTCGCTTTTGTTTAAGGTGTCATTGTTATATAGCATATGCGATATATACTTACAGTAGAAGCCCTCGATGAAACTATAGTATAATGCAAGCTCTATAGAACAGTACATTATAGCAGAGTGTGATAGATCTTAATGGAAATACGGTAGAACACCCCGTTTAATATTACCCGATGAAATAGACTCTATTCCATGACGCCGTCTTTTGAGTTTTGGTCCCTCTTTTTCGAAGCTCAGAGGAGGCAAGTCCGTTAGCATAACTTGGGGGTAGCGGGGATCTAAGCCTGGGAATTTGTTTAGTGTTCAGCCATCCGAACCCAGGGAATCCTAGTCCTGAAGTCAGATTCTGGGAAATAATGAGATGAAGAATTGGGCTAAGAATTAACAGAGAAATCAATTCTGGAGGCTCGGGTAGAAAACTTTTATTACCTTGGGAACTCATTACTTTCTGTTTTCCCTTTTGGATCTGGTTCATTCATCTCTGGCTTTGACTTCCTCCCGCTTCCCTTCCCATCTCATCCCTCCTCACCCAAACAGCAAACCAAATCAACATGTACTATGTGTCCCCTTCCCACGTTTTGTGGTGGAGTGTGAGGAGGAAGGCAGGGGTCCCCAGGGTCTCAGAGCTACAAGTAGGTCATGCTTTCAACTAGCAGCTGCGATTGGACTTCTGTAGAGAGGTTTCTGGAAGTTCGGTAAACTTAAGAAATTAGGAAGGGAATAAGTCGAAGAAGAAGGAAGGGGAAGGAAACCCCAGCTGGTGAAGAGCTAGGGCCAACCAGGCTGCTGCTTTGAATAACTGGGATAGTATGCTAACAAACCTGTTCTCGACTTTGAGGGTGAGGGACCCTTCAGAGCCCGGACTCCCACCTCCTGCCCCCAGAGCAGCGGTTTTAAGTAAGCTCTGTCATCAGCTTTAACAGTTTATAATTCTATAATTTAATTTTTCCGCTTTCAATTGTTAGTAAAGAGCCACAGGAGTAATTTTCTTTGAAGCGGCATCGGGTTATGCAAAGAACAAGCTCTCCCCCTACCGGCTATAATGCGCTACGGCAGTCGATGAATCTTCTGCCACCTTGACTTCCAGCTTGCTTTCGGCTTTAGGGTTCTGGGGTTCGGGAAAGGATCTCCAAAAGGTGGTGACCTGTTGGAGTGCAGGACGGATATCTGAAATCAATTGTACAGAAGCTCCCAAGACCCAATGCATAATCCCGGTAGGCAGATCAATCGATTTAGCTGGTGAGTGGGCTAGTTGAAGACAGCAAGAATGGGGGTTGGAGAGATCTAAAATGGAGAAAGAAAAGGACAGAAAGCCATAGCCCCACCTAAAGAGAGCTCGGGTGCTTCCTCCCCTTCTCAGTCTGTCTTTGTTCTATACATATATCAATAATCTGTGTATTAAAAATTCCCTGTGTGACATGTTCATATGTATAAATACATGATTCATAACCATGACAGCAACAAGAGCATCCCCTTTTAAAAATCAATTTTTCTTTATGCAGATACAACCCTTTTAAATGCAATTCCTTCCTCTGTGTGTGTGCATGCTCCTAGCCTCATAAAGATCGTCCATATTTAATTCTCTCAGTCCCATACGTCTACAAATAGATCAAATGTACTGTGTAACCGCCGTACCTTTGTGTACAAGGGGGAACGAAAGCGAATTTCCCTAGATCTTCGAAAGTGTTTTTACTGCAGAAATTCGAACCGAAAGATTGCCACCGTTATTCCGCGGAGCTGAGAGAAATGATTCTCCCGCACCAAGAGGCAACAGCTGCACGTGACCTTAGCGATAAATGTGTAGACAAAGAATATCTTCAAATAGTAACGAAAATTCACGCAGTGCTGTTTTCTCTGCGCTGTTTTTAAATATTGAAAAATGGGAAATAATGGGGGGGCAGGGAAGAGAAGGGTGTTTAGAAGTTTAATTCAGACACAAACGTATAAAACACAACGGCTCCACTTAAAAATATACCAAGTGACTCGTTGGGAAAAAAAAGAAAGCTATTAAAAATAAAGCCGCCGTTGGCCGCCTAGTCCTGCGATCCCACTGGGTTCAGCATCTCACTGCCGCAGTCTGGCGGCCTTCTGGGAAGGTTATAAAACAGTGGCTTGCGAATAAATGGGGAGGATGGAGCCCAGGCCAGGTTGTTTACTCTGCCCGGTGTCCGGGACCCACAACATTAGTACCACCGAGGCAGAAGAGTTGGTCAGGTAATGAGGGAAAAGGATGGGTACGGCCTCCAAGGGCTGAGTTTGAATCCAGATGCCTCCAGCTGTGTGGAGAGGCACAGTACACTTCGGTCTACTAGCCACCTCTTCGTTGTTCCCTATCTATCCTCTTGGTAAAGCATGGATTTCTGGGGGAGGGGAGGAGCAGGCCTACCCCAAGTCCGTGCAGCAGACCTCTCTGTACATTCTCTGTTTTGACTTTGTCTGTCTTGTTGGTGGGATTGTTCTTTCTTTTGACGCAACTCATTTCTTCCCAAATATTTCCCAATTCCCCATTTTCTGATTTTCCATTAGTTGTGCCTTTCCTCCTTCAAAGCACCACCTCCAAAACACAGAGAATTCTCTGCCTCCATCACCCCTCCCACTGACCCCCTTTTATTAAAGTTTTAGTTAAAGTCTCAAGTGCCAGTACTTAAATGTCTATGGGAATGAATCTCCTTTCCACCGAGGAGAATTCAATAAAAGAGCTCATTACCGTAATCTGTGGAATAAAGCACAACCCATGACTCTGGCGAGGGAGGAAAAAGGAGGATGGTAGGAAGTCAGAAAACGGCACGCATAGGTTTTCTCTTTTCTTTTCTTTTCTTTTCTTTTCTTTTCTTTTCTTTTCTTTTCTTTTCTTTTCTTTTCTTTTCTTTTCTTTTCTTTTCTTTTCTTTTCTTTCTTTCTTTCTTTCTTTCTTCCTTTCTTTTTTTATGTGATTTGTTGTTATTTTAATATATACACGAATTTCACCCACCTGATTCAGTTCCTTTCCGGTTCAGAATAGGAACGGGTCCAGTATGTCCAGTACTCAGACAGACAACCTCTGACCTCCTCACCACTCCGCCACCCCATCCCCCTAGTGGCTTGGCTAGAGGCAGAGAGCGATTTAAAACATCCAATCTTCCTTTCCCAAGCTTCCAGGCTCGAGGTGGAAATACGGCGGAGGTGAGGACTGCCGTGGGGGGCCGGGTCAACTAGGGGAGGGAGAAAGAAAGATAAGAAAATGTTTCAATTAGCTCTCTCTCTAAATTGCCCCGGAAGTGATGGGGCAAGGGGCCCCTCCTGGAATTTTGAAGGTTTTCCACTAAAAGATGTCAGTTTCGGACTTAAGAGATGGGGGAAGGGAGATGAGGCCCAGCCGGGAATGGGGGGGGAGGGGCTTTTGCCATTGAACTTGAAGTTCCTGGCTGGTGGTCTTGACCTTTCTCGCCCTGGCTCTGCGCTGGATGCGGGGTGGGGTGAGTGAGAAACCGCACAAAAGGGGAAAAGTGGATGGTTGGAGGGGAAAAAGTTGTTTCTAGATTGAAAATCTTAGTTGGGCTTTCAGGGTGACGAAATAAGGGATGACGATGGAGAGGAGACTGCAGCCCCAGCCTCAACTTCATTCAGAAAAGGAAAGATTGACTTTCTGGTTGAGGGCTTAGAAATTTTCTGGGTTCTATCTGGGCAGTGGCAGGGTGTATGTGTGTGTAAGGGTGCGGGAAGAAGATTTGGATTATAGATTTACTGCGTCTACAGGCAGGGAAGGATTGAAACTCCACGAAAGATTAGAGGAAGCGTGTGCCAGGAGATCAGAAAACATTCCAGTCACCCTGGAAACAAACTTCAGCCTGGAAACAAACTTCAGCCTCGAAAGGGACTCGGAGGTGAGTATGGAGATGAAATGGTAGAAGTTGAAGAGGACCCAGGAGTCCTGCCGAGGAAAGGACCCACTTGACCTGCCCTGCTATGCCGGCCTCCTCTGGCTTTTGGCAGAGGCCCTCAGCGTTGGCCTATATTTCTTCTGGGCCAGGAACCTCTCCAATTTTCTAGGTCTCGTAGACAAGGCAGAATTAGGAGCCCTTGAAAATCAGCTGGGGAGAAGAATTGAGAAAATGGATGTGAAATAATATTGCTTAGAATGTCAAATTCGTTTGGTGTTTTGGTTGGTTTTCTTGACCTTTTTTTCTTTATTCTTTGTAAATACAGAAGTGGCTTGTTTCGTAGGGAAGGGGGAGACAAAGGAGGAGGAGAAGGGGCATATTTGGAAATAAAGGTGGTATGAAATCAAAGGATAGCGATAATTTTTTTTTAAAGAAAGTTAACACAGGTGAGAAAACCACTTTCCCAAGCGTCTTTCAGTAGAACAGTGGATTTAAGGATTAACTCACTGCTAAAGCTATACTCATTTGGACAGGGCAGGCGGCTTTCTCTAATTAGTAAATAGTAATTAGAGTCTGACTCTTTATCTCTGCTTAAGAACCAGCCCAGCCTAGCAGTTTTCATCCCAGGCTTTTTTCTTTCTTTCTTTCTTTCTTTCTTTCTTTCTTTCTTTCTTTCTTTCTTTCTTTCTTTCTTTCTTTCTTTCTTTCTTTCTTTCTTTCTTTCTTTCTTTCTTTCTTTCTTTCTTTCTTTCTTTCTTTCTTTCTTTTTTCCAATGAAATTTCTTAACCTAGGAGTTCCTTCTGAGACCACTTGGCTGGCCCAGAGGTTCAGTCAGCTGGCAGCCAGGTCCAGGCGGACTAAGGGCTAAGAGAATGTGTGTGCTGACGGGCCTCGGAATGGGAGGAAGGTGGGACCCGGGAGGCTCTTTAGGAAACATAGCCATGTTCTGGGAGACCAGTACAACCTTAGAAGAATGGAAGGCTCATGATAAACACTCATCTTGGGGGCTAATAGAATCCTTTTCGAGGCTACTAGATTTCTTTGCCAGGACACCGATTTTGTTTAGTAGATTCTTTCGTCAAGTGCTCAAAGATCCCACTTCGTTGACACTTTGGAAGCATTTATTCGTTTTTCTCTGGGATAGGGGGTTACCTATCAATTACAAATCATGAAAGTTTCGGGGTTTTTTGCTTTCACTTTCGGGTTGTAAAGACCCGGCGATCTTTGGGAGAAATTGGGAGGAAAAGGTTCGTACGAGACGGGTTATCAAGGGACTGCTCTGCTTCCCTGGAGAGAAAGTTGACAACCCAGGGACTCACTCTCTTTACCTCTCTCCATCCCCTCCTTCTGTGGGGTTTCTCCGAAATACTTCTTTCCTTAGGAGCCTTTGGTGCCTCAAGGCTATTCGCTCTTCATCCGCTTTTGTTTTTAACACGGGCCCAACTTATTCCAGAAACCAAAGCTTCTCATTATAAAGCGCTTTTCTTTCAAACATCCTGGGAACTGACTAATGCAAATATTATTATCACCCTTATTCTGCAGATCAAGAAACTGAGGCTCAGAGAAACTGACCTTTTGGCACCCAGTTCCCGTGGTCGGAGTAGTTTTAAGGCTCTGGGTTGTCGATGACTTAGTGGCTCTATGTAAATACACTCGTAGGAGAATTCTCGTTTATTAATTTCCTGGATGAGTCCTTGTACAGATATGTGTGTTGTACACGAATATACATTCTTTCCACTACACACACAACTGCTCCCAACCGCCTACAAATGCAGTCATTTATGCTCTGTAGACACAGTGATCTGCAAAGGATTGCCCACGAACTATTCATCTGTGGCAGCAAGTATAAGTATGTATATGTAGGTTAGTTACCAAATTCTAGCCCCCACTAACCTTCCCATTCATTTGCTGTGCGCGAACACAAAGGCATAGCTAGGCATGTGCTCACCTACACACGGCTCGTCGAAGTTAGACCCACTCCCACCTTATTCCTCTCGAATACACCCACCCAGCACTTTACCCTTTCATACAGGCATTCAGGCCACCACACACACACACACACACACACACACACACACTTACACACACGCACGCACGCACTCACATACACATGCCACATATGAGGCTCATACATTAATTAATAAACATTTATATCTCTGCATCCTTGCACACCTCTGGAAATTAACAAATGTTCCCTTGTAAGGCTTTTAGCGACTCAGTGGAGTAAACAGTCACGTAAGCAGACATGAGTATATAGGACTGCACCTAAATCCAGGAAAATGCCTAGAAACTTTATTCTTTGGTAGAGACTCACACATACGGCACTCCTCCTAGACTCACCCCCCTTAAGTAAAGACACAGACTCACACAAATATCTTTATCCTAAAAGTCACAAACAGCACCCTAACGCAGACTTTCACACACCCTCCTGTAGACTTGTTTGTTTCTTCTCGTTTCTGTTTCTCTCTGTATCTCTTCGCCTATCTCTGTCTCTTTCTTCCCCTCTTCGTCTCTTAATTTTTCTCCTATACACTAGATTTAATGCTGAGAAAGACCTTAAGCTCATTTAGCCCAAATCCCCTCATTTTACAGAAGAGGAAATAGACCCAAATAGGGGAAGGAATTTGCCAGTGGTCACCTGGCTGAGGTTCAAACCCGGGTTTCCTGACTCCAGATCTAATGTTCTCTCCACCACACGAGGCTACCTCTCCCAAACCCTCAAGGGCACCCTCCGTTACAGACGTGCACTCTTTTCCCCTGGAAATGTGCAGACCTCCCCTCTTACAGAATAGGAGGAAACTACACAGCAATCTACACACTCATTTCCCAGAAAACCCCAAGATGACTACCCAGAGGGCCCACTTTGTTGAGATTTTCCCTACCTACCCCCCTTTTCTTCTCTCCACTCCTTTCAGTCCCCTCAGTCTCCTTCTTTCACTCTTAATTCCTTTGTTTGGCTGAAGTTCACTGTCTCCTTCCTATCCCCAGCCCATCCCATCCACCCAAGGTTTTTGTCATTGAACTTGAGACTGGGTCATAAACATTCCTTTGTCCCTAAAGAACTGGGGGGGGGGGAGATGGGGAGGAAAAGGGAGGGGAGGGAGCCAGGTCTTCCCTTCCATCTATTCCCAGTTCAGCAGCCTCCTGGAGGGAGTTTTAAGTTTTTGTAGCTTGGCCCAAAGCATCTTTTGATAAACGTCTTCAAGACTTTTAAAAATAATAATAATTTTAAAAAAGACTCTTTAAATACATTACTTCCACCACCACCCCTATGAAAATAAACAACCCTGTCTGTCTTTGCATCATTTAACTTAGTTAAGAAATGGAATGGTCGATTATTTCCACATTCTAAGAAAAAAGATGGTTCGTTATCAGGATAATGTAGGTTAAAGCAGATTTGTTATTAGGGTAATTTAGTTCAGTGATTTTGAAAGGTTCCTAAATCTTAGAGAAAAAGCTAACCTACAATTATCTGGGGGGGGGGGAATGAAGCATCTATATTTGTCCCTGAATGACTGAAAGGAAGGTTCTGAGTTGAACTGAGCTCTTCTTTATAACTGTACAGCCATCCTCCTTTCCCCTAAAACTTTTCAGTAAACTTTGTTTTTCTCTTCAAAACTCAGGAACAAATATCCAGGTAAATGGAATTCTGCATCATTTTGTCCTTAATATTAATGGCCAATAACAGTAAGGAAAGGTGTGCTTAAGGACAGGGATGGACTAGATAGATTTCCTGCTCTGACTTTTCATGATGCTCCTCCCACCCTCTGGTCTGGGTGGTAGGGATTGTGGAGGCATGCACCACAGCTCAGAATGTCATTAGCTCCATAACAACAATAACCACAATAACCACAACCACAAACAATAACACTCAGAGTTCATTGCAGGGTGGTTTAGTCCTGTGTCTTCTGTTGCCTTAGTATATATAGTATTTTAAGAGCTGCAGGATCAGTGATATTATTCTCCTGAAAAGTTATCCTAGGGTGGTGTAGGATTTGAGCTGAGATTGTGTGTCTGTGTGTCTGTGCATTCAATAGAGAAAGAAGGGCTTGGAGAGACACAGTTGGTTCCACAGCTATTGTGCTTCTTATTCTGAAATCCAGGAGACTTGGCTTCAAAGGAAATCGTCTTTTCTGGGGGACAATTGGATAAGATCTGATTTCTGTTATCCTTTTCCCGAATATACCAGCCTCTAGGTTCTGGTATCTCCCAGTGGATAATTGAGGGAGGATAAGGGAGGGAAGGGAGATGGATGCTTATTATTTCCCCTAGAAGATTTTAAGAAAGGAAGAAAAAACACATTTCCCCTTCTCCCTCTTTTTCAGTCTAGTGCTGATCCAAGCTTAGGTCTCCATGGAGCAAAATAAAAGGGAGAATTGAGGGAATTATCTGGGTAATTTACACACACACACACACACACACACACACACACACACACACACCCAACACACTTTAGCTTCTATTAGCTAAAAGATTTGGATTAAATCTTGCAGGATGCTAGTAGAATTCGAACCTCAGGACAGGGAATGTTGCACTTTTGCCTTCCTATCCTCAATATGCAGTGCAGTGCCTTGCACATGGTAGATGGCTTAATAGATGATGAATTGAATTGTTAATAGATGACCCTTTCCTTCCTCCCTCTCTCCCTCCCTTTCTTCTTTCCTTCCTTCCTACCCTCCTCCTTCCCTCCCTCCTTCACTCCCTTCCTCTCTTCCTTCTTCCCTGCCTTCCACCTTTCCAGACTTGTGGATAACCCAGACATCATGAATAAAACTAGTGACCCTGGTTTCGTCCTGGTAAAGGCAGACTCCAAAGTGGCAGACAGAAGAGTGAACAGGTCAGTGAACAGGATTTGTTCCTAGGACAGGTGAATTCAAGGGAAAAGATGTGATTAAAACTGGCCAATTTTAAGTGCCTTCCATTAGCTTCCTGGTGGACAGGTGGGCATGGGCATTGACTGGTGTATATAGCCTCAGTAAGTTTCATTTTGTGAAACTTGAATTATCCAGAAAATTGCAGTTAGTGGATGCTAGAATTGTTCCCAAAATTTCTGAGCTGCATTTGTTTTTTAGTTATGCAGAGGAAGAAATAATATGTCCACAAAACAGTAGAGCCATCTTGACTTTATCTCTCCAGGGGCCACTGGATTAGTAGCATGTAAAAGAAATAGTGTGGTAATTGAGGGAAAAACAG